ATTGCTAATCAGTAAACCCAATCTTTAACATTTCGATGCATATTCAGAACCTGAAAATGCGTCAATGAAGTCTAAAACACATGTTGGCACCACAAGGACCGGGGCTGTTCAGCAAGCATGGGCGCCGCCATTGCTTGATAGCAGTGGTAATGAGACTGCCCTGATAGTACACTCTAGCCCTGCTTTTGCAACTGGTTTGCTTTTGAGCTGCAGACAATCCGAAGCTGAAGCTGCAAAAGGCGCCGCTCCTTGATACCCTGCCTCTATCTCAGCGTTGTCGGATACTTTTGATGACGGACAGCTGCTGGTGTTAATGAGTTGATGCAACTGTTTGGTTCGTTCACTAAGGGGATTTCAGGTGTTGTTTCAGTGTGCTTTTGACCATGGCCTCGCTATACATGGGTGAAAAACACGTCGTGTCGCTGCTAGGAAAAAATGGGAAGCAGCGGGCATTTTTTTTAAATATTGAAAATAAACATTTCTTTGTTTTACTAGTTCAGATCAGCTATATTTTTTTTATTTTACTACAACGAAATTTTTTCCGTGTCCTGTCAGTTTCGTTGTAGCGGGGTTCGACTGTAGTAGCTTTGATGCTCATGTCATGACTTAAAGATAAAGAGGCTACAAAGTCTGAAAAAAGAATAACATGAGAGCGCACAATAATTTCTTGTACTTGCAAAAACAGTCTTCTTTAACATTATCACCTTCAAAGTAGTCCCCTTCAGCATTCACACACTTCTCCATACAGTGCTATTATGGCTGGTGATAGTTTTGCGATGAGGTTTTTGGGAGGCCCTTCAGGAGATTCTTTATTTTGACTGAATCTCTTCAACTGAGCCAATGATAGGTTCTCTTTCAGCAATATTTAATTTTCACAAATAAAAATAAAAACATCAAGCGAAATTAAGCGAATAAAGTGGGTGTGATGCTCTTCTGGCTATTGCACCTATTTCTGATTGTGCTCTTGCCATTAACATATATATAGGTACCAAAATGCTTTGTTTAATCATAGATCATGGACAGTTCTCATTGGCATAGAGCTGTACCATGTGGTCGAGTTCTTCAGTGTGACGGCAGCACTGCAGTGCCAGAACCCAAAACCTAGTGGCTAAAAAAGGCAATAATAAGACGGCATCAGTGGATGGGTGGACGTGAGTGGGCGCCAGTTTCCGTTGACGTTTTTTTCTGCTCAGCATGCACATGTAGGGGCATGCCTTTTCCACCCCCATTGTTCTCACCTCCATCATCAACATTCACTAGCAACGATAGAAAAATTGAGGAATATGGAATCGTGGCATAGCAAATCATTCTCAGTTCTGTCCTGAGCTGTAATTCTGCATACAACGCTGGACTGAGCAGTGATGAGGCAGCTGGCAACGCATGTTTGGGCTACTCTGGCTGGTAAGACATACGAACGCTGCGTGATTATTACCTCGCAAAGATCGTAGCTTGAAATTACCAAGTCGACGCTCACAGCTCCATGATAAATCACCCGAAGCAGCATCACAAAAACGCAGAACTCACACGAACGCGCTGTGGACAGAGCAAAACAAAGCACCTGAAGCCGTTGCCAGGCATGATGTCATCGCTGCTCGCTCGAAGTTGCTCAGTGCCTGAGGCATGGCCTACGAGCTTGCTGAACACTACAAAATACTGTCGATGTCTCGTGGCCTTGATTGCGCCATTGAGCCTTTGGACGCTCTTTGCGCTCAAAATAGGAATAGAATCGAATGAACGCCGCATGTCAAGTTTGACTTTGGGTGGCACTGCTCCTTTAAAATGCATTGAACAGCTTTTCCTGTAGCAACTACTGCATGAACACTTAATCTCCGGTCACCAAAGATCACCCGGAAACATTGGAAATGTTTACTTCTGTAATCGCTGACCTTAGGCCCACAGAATGTTCATCATCTTCCACACTTACTTTCCCCTGAAAGCCACTTACGCCATTCAAACACATGCATGAGACGTTTCATCTCTATAATCCTCACTTACTATTCGACATGTTTTCATAGAAGATTTTTTAAGTTTCACAAGAAACTTGATGTTGAGCCTCAGTACAGTTTTTACATTGCACTTTTTTTTTCAGGGCACAGTTGTATGTGTTCACTTATGGCACTGCATTCACAACTGGTGTGATCGGTGTTAAGCCCAAACGGGCCGCATGGATAGAGGGTGTGTTTGGGATGATGTCAGTAAAACAGTTATTTTGAATTCCACTCTTTTCCAGGTTCACACTTAGTCTCGTTCTTTTTTTTTCGTACCTTTTATATATGAAATACTGCCTAACGTGTACAACCATTTCAAGATATGTGCATTTTTTTAACTATCACAATAAAATTGGATATCACAGCCAGCTTACAGAGAGGCTTTTTTTTCTATGTGTCAGTTCAAAAACTATAACATTTTATTTTCATTAATAGAATGTTATGTTTTAGAAGTCATCCTGTAGGGATCGTGTAGGCACGTCCTCATGTGCAGTTCGCCATCGTTCAGTGTTAGCTGAACGATGTGAATTCAGCAAACAGAAATAAAGCCTGCAACTTGTCGGCACCTCGTCATTCGTTTCCGGTGTTGCGCTGTGCCAGCACTGCTGAACTCGCACTGCACAATTTCTGAACTTTGCATGCACAGCCGTGAACCGATTTCAAGTGGTGCAGGTAAATCGAACAGACCTAGAGCTATTGTGTTTGTTTTAGTTTGTATGGCTACCAAAGAGAGAGTTTCAGAGGCGCACGTTGCAACTTTACTAATGACGATTCCTGTGACAACATGAAATAGCTTGAACGCATACCATTACACACAGCAGCACCAACAATTCATGAATTATAGTGCACAATGTATTATAATATTTCTGGAGCTCAGAGAAAGATAGGAGACATGACACACAATATACATAAGGTAGTCGTACCCTGCCGTGGTGGTCTAGTGGCTAAGGTACTCAGCTGCTGCCCCGCAGGTCGCGGATCGAATCCTGGCTGCGGGGGCTGCACTTTCGATGAAGACGAAAATGCTGTAGGCCCGTGTCGAGATATGGGTGCACTTTAAAGAACCGCAGGTGATCGAAATTTTTAGAGCCTTGCACTACAGCGTCTCTCATAATCATGTGGTGGTTTTCGGACGTTAAACTACACATATCATATTAACATAAGGTAGTCGTAACCACTTTCTGTCCCTGACAGTGACTTCTATTGGTTGCAGGTTTTGGAAGTGTCGTTGGAGGGACTTCTTCAATACATAGCAACTTTAAAAAAATGCATACTGACTCGTTTTTAGAAATCAAACTATTGATAATATAGTTTATTCTTTTTTTTCCCTGAATGAGTTCTTTGATCAAATGAAGTTGAGATGCTTAATAAGCTGCGTTAGCCCGCCTCTCTTCAAGCACTGCCACCATTTCCATTCTTCTCATTTCCATTTCAGCTTTTCTTAATCTGACGTCGTCGGCATGCCGCTGGTGTAGCAGCTTCATCTTGTCGTCGTGCTGGCGAATTTTGAGGTCCAGCTTTCTTTTGTCAATCTGGTAGCTGTGGAGGCGCATTTCCAAGTCTTGATTATACCTGGCCTCCAAAAACGCCAGTGTTGCCTCATTTTGGCTTCTCCCTGCTGCAAAAATATGTAAACAAGAAACATTGGACTTGACATACTGAAGTATCTAAAGGGATACTGAATAAAATTTTTGCCACTGTAATTTTCAAGCAAACAGAAAGATTGGCTCCTGAAATCAATTGATACAACCCTCATTTGGCAAAAACTTTGCCTGCCTGGTCAGCCCTTCAGATTTAGGTGGAGACTCACCCCCGCCCCCCAACAGACACATACTGAAATAAAATTCTGCATACACCCTGGTTGCATTGCCGAGATTGTGGGAGCATTCCTCACTTGGAAGATACGACAGTGCTTAGCTGCGCGTCAGACAAAGTGACTACATTAATCATCAAAGCTACACACATTGAAAAAAAAAAGGAAGGTGATTGTGTTAGCATGGTGTCATTAAAGAAAAAAATGGAATTTCTAGATTTGTATTGTTTGTGTGAATAAGTGTTCACTATGAGCGGACGAAAGCAAGAGTTGTTGAACAGCTTTTTATTTTCATGTGTATGGTATATATATTTATGCACTGCAGCAAATAAAAAATAAAGATCGGGTGTGAGTCAGCGCTCATCTGTGTGCCCAGTGCGTCCCTGTTTTCTTGCACTGTTCTTTCGTTACAGTGCTTGCAAACCAAGTAGCCACCTGACAAGCATTGACAATCTAGCATCAACTGAAGAAGACGAGCACTCTTGCTGGGGTCTCAGTACCATATACAGTAAACGCTCGGATTTAGAAACAAAATTTTTGCAAACATCTAAGAATTACTTATGCTTTTAGGAAACCCCATTTGTTTTTCTATCTGTTTTGTGCAAAAATGTTTCGTTTGAACATACCTGAATAGCAAACATTTCAGCTGAACGAGCTTTATTACTGAAATTCTCATTATATTTCTGAAATCAGTTCAATACATTTTTGTGTTCTACTATGCTGGCAGTGGCAGATTGAAATTCCTTAACTTTAACCAGCTCTACAATCCCTTAGAAAGTGGCAAGGCTTTATGTCTCAGCAACAAGCTATGCGACAGAAAGTGCACCAAACATTAACTCTCTGGACAGCCTTGCGACTTCTATAGTGAATAAGTTATACATGATCTACTTAATAAGCTAAGGCTGCTTTATGCTGCTGAATAATATGCCCATAAGATATGAAATATTACTCTGGACTTCAAAGATTGACTGTTGCATCCATATTTGTACTTGAGCTCAAAACCACACTGTAGTAAAGTCAAAGTTGGTGCTGTGATTGCACAATGGCACATATTACTTTGCTGTGATGAAATGAATTCTTTACTGGGTACAATCATGGCAAATGAGCCCTTTAAGCTCTGGGTTCATTTGGATAGAGCAAAAACTATGTTATGTACCTCTTGGTGGTGTGCGTCGTCGAGGGGTCTGTTCTGCTGATGCAGCCAGTTGTGCTCGTGCACTGCCTCTAGGCAGTGGCTGTGGCACATTTGTTGAAAGCTCTGAAAATGCACAAGATTGTCACGTTTATTGCTTTATGTCTACTGCCGCTGAAAATGTGCACTTCAGACACTAACTGAAATTGATTTGTCACGTGAATTTTAATTGTAACCACAAAATCAGCCTATGTTTGGGGAGTCCAGTATTGCTCATTGCATAAACCACAGCTTGCTTGATGACACGTAGTGTTGGAAGTGCTGCTTCAATTGCTCCAAACTGCTCCAAAAGAGAAATGCTGCTCCGAAGTGTATTCTTTGTTACTAATTGCTTCAAACCTGCTCTGAGATGACACTGAGTATGAGAATGCTGAACTTTTACTGTTTGACCGACACACAAGTCTTAAAGAAACTAAAAAGAATCTGCCTACTACCATCCCAGTGTGTTACTAGTGTGCAGCATTATTGGCTCTGATCTCACAAGTGCGACAAGAATTGGCATATGAAGCATACAGCTCCTAGGTTTTTGTTTCTCAGCTAGACATGCAGGCTACTATGGTGAAATTTGAAAATGAGCAGGACTGCTTTTATCTGATGCCGATTATCTACTGCTTATTTGGCAACAGTTATATGGGACTGTGGTTACTTCTAAAATGCGGTGCTCAGCTTTTCCAGTTTGATATCATATCTGCCACACATGGTAGTATTTTATATTGCAGCTTATTGCACAGCATATTTTGGACAATCTGCTATTGTATGATACATTTAATTTATAATGACTGTTGTCTGTTAAATATGTTTAATCAGAAATAATACTTTCGAGCTTATTCGACAATGCTCCGAACTCGTACTAATGTATGGCAAATTTAATATCTTCTAAAACACCGATAGCTGCTCTGAACTACCATTTTTTTCTGCTCCGAAAACAACTATGGCTGCTCCAAAGTATGCTCCAAAAAGTAAAAATGCACTTCCATCACTGGACATCTGATAATAATGGAAGTGTCTAAAAGATTCCTGTAAAATATGTCCAAATGGCATCGAATATTTGTGTCTCTATATGGCCTCACATTATGGCACATCGAATATAATTTCTGCACAAGCTGACAAAAAGTATCCATATGTCAACAGGCAGTCATGTTTCATGAATTGTATTATGAATCATTAAATGCTGATAATCATACTGGCAGCAGTGGCATGCTCATTGCAAATGCTGTCTGTTTTCTTTGTAAGAGAACAAACAAAACATAAAACAAGCTTAGTTGTTGAACTGCCTAATCCAAGGTTGTAGGTTGAATTCTCGGCCGCTGTGGCTTCATTTCAGTGTGTGCGAAATGCAATGGCATTCGTGTACTTAACTGAGGTTGACATAAAAGAACTGAAAGTCGTAAAGATTAATGCCGAGTACATACATTACAACACACCTCATACTCATGTTGTGGGTTTTGCAAGCGAAATCCCACAAATTGTAGCTATTGAAAACATAACAAACAGGGATATAAAGTTAACAAAATGATGTACCTCGCAATGGTGTGCGGTTATGAGTGGCTTGGGAAGGCCCATCCGCACTTGTTGCTGGCGTGTGGCTTGCCTCATTGGCCGTGCCAGGTGTTAGCTCAGGCTCTGAAAAAATTGACCCCATCATTGTCACATACGGGACTCTTCAAAGTGATGACATAATTTTAAGTAAGCCTTTAATTGGCTTGTTACACTAGGCAACATTACGAAAAGCAACACTTTTACACCAGTATACTTGCCCAAGTATTCATCATGCTATCAGCTGTGCTCACAACCAAAAAAAATCGGTAAATTTTACGTGGCACATGAAAACCCACTAATAATTGCTATTAAAAACATAACAAGGAAACAACAATATACCTGGTGATGGTGTATGGCTGCCACGAACTTCTGTTGAGGGCCCATCAACAGTTGTTGCTGGCGTGTTGGTCCCCTCATCAGCCATGCCAGCTGCGCTCATGTTGAAAGCTAGAAAAATTGACCCCATTATGGGCACACATGTGATTCTTCAAAGTAATGACATAATTTCAAGTAAACCTTTAGTGGCTCATTGCATTAAGCAGGGTGACACGAAGCAACAAAACACCTGCACCAGTCGGATTGCTGAAGTATTAATTAAACAACGTAGGAAAAAATATTCACCATTCTAGCGGTTGCCACTGGTGTCTGGGGAAGTTATCACAACAGAGAGCGAGGACATTTATTCATTAAAAATATCCATTCAGTGCTATGAGATGGTATGGCTGCATATGCTCAATCAACAACAGCGAATACAAAACAGTGTTATGCGGTAAGCTATATAGATGATAAGAACAATGCAGAAGATGTGGCAGATTATCACGCTGTCCACATGCTCAGGAACACTGCTGTGCAAAATAAGTGAAGGCAGTTTTATCTAACAACGGCTTTTACAGGTTTTCAAGAGTATGCTGGCAAAAATGTATATAAGTGCCTCACCAATTCTTTGTTATAGTGAATTATGTTGAAACTCGAATATTTTTACATACATTGTGCCTCAGCTGATAAGGGCCAGTCAAAATGGCAGCGGGTGTCTGGATCGTCCACATCATTTGCAGTACCTTCATTCTCCCTTGCATACATGCTACGCAGCAGTGAAGCCGCTGGGGTCACTGCGTCACCTTGTACAGATGGAAAATATTAAAACACATGAAATCAAAAACCAGTGCCTCTTTAGTGATGTTAGTTACACAAGTTCCCTAACATTTCACCCTGAAATAGGTGCATATTTGCTTTCAATCAGGCTGAACAACACGAGTGACCCTAAACGCTAGAAAGCATTGTTGCAGCACATCATTTGTAAATTTGTGAATGCAGTTACTTGATGGGACCGACAACCAGTAGAAATGTGACTACATCCAAGCAGAAATAAAAAACAAACATGAAAATAGTGACAGATTACAGCAGCCTTTTCGCATTGTAAGTAGGATTTATATTTTGAATATTTTTTTAAAAGCAACCAAAAACAGGTATGTCCAACAGCCCAGAAGAAGCCCCTCGCAGCTAGATTCCCGAGTCTATTGCTGCTGTATGCAGTTGCATATTCCCATGCTGTCATGCATGCCATCATCAAAATTACAGCACGTATAACAAAGCCTGCTCTATTCTGTGTTTTATTTACTAGGTAAAAGGAGTTGCACGGTGAGAAGCGGTGCTGCCTTTTGAGCAGCCAGTGCACCTTGTTAAGCTGCTGCGTAAGCGCATACAGTGTGCACATGCACAGTGTACTGCCTTGCTCGGACACGAACCACTATTGCGCTCACTGTTTGAGGCATGTGTTGTCACGTGCATCTCCAACCGCAAATTCACTGGAGATAGAAACAAATTATTACAAATGTTTCACAGCATTTTACTTGTTACTATTCTGTGATTAGACACTCTGACTATTAAGCTTTTCATTGTGCTAAAAAATAGGTGCCATAACAATAGGTTGTTGTTCCCTTTGAGGTAGTTAAGAAGACGGATTATCAGATAATTGAGGAGCATTCGTAGCGACCGCAATAACAGTGTCATCGTGGAATTCACTCCAAAAACTTCATCAGGTGAAAATAGCAATTATCTCGTGCATATCAACTGGAAATGAAAACTTTCAGAAAGTCACACATTGACAGATTTAAGTGTGAATAATAATGTTAACATAAATGTATCATATGGGTCAACCAATACAGAGTATATTTGGCCTCGAATTGTGCAAGTTAATTTGATTGAACGATGCAGATGAGTGCCAATGTTTCAGAGCTTCCTTCTTCACGCCTTATGAAACAAGAAAAAGAAAAAAAAGGTGGGGGGGGGGGGATTGTAGCGAGGTTCTTACCAGATTGATTGCTTGTCTCCGCTGCTGATTCAGCAGCATAGCACTCCAGCGCGGCGATGTGCCGGTCGTCCCAACTGGCCTGCGCGGTAGGTGTGACCCGCTTAGCAGTCGACCCCGACGCAGACTCTGACGTGGTCTCTGATGCGGAAGCTGGAGTGTTTTTCGCACGGTGCTTCCGAACAGCCGACCGTGGTGGCCGATACGAATATTCGGCGGCGAGGTCAGCCACGTGCTGGAGAAGTACGTCGATTGCCGCGTATTCTTCTTCTGTTCCCGATCTAGTCAAGCAAACAATCACGTTTACAAAGTTTGGCCACAACGTGGTGGCTTGAAGATAACGTGAAATATACGGTCTACTTACTTTTTTCTGCTTTTCTTGTCATTCCGTATGAAGTGGGCCAGGAGAAGGTCAACGCGCTCTTTAACACTTCGCGAATTAAGTGTTCGCCGCAGCAGCATTGCCACTCTCTCGGTGATCGTGTGCCACCGAGAAGCATTTTCGTACGGGTTCAGCGCAAGAACTTCTTCGAGTATAATTTTATCATCTGCATGCGAGTAGCGTGTACGCGGCGCCATCCTGGTAGCAGGCCTCGAAGTAGCCATCTTGTTCTTTTACGTTTCTGTTAGGCTCGACTTGACTCGGCTCAAAGGAAAGGGAAGCCGGTAATGGCAACCTTGGAAGCATCTCGGGCGTTTGGGCGTTTGAGCGTGTCCGGTAAATGCCCGTAAGGCACGCGCATGCGCAGTTCAGACCCGGTAAACCGGTATCCGCAAACTTTTTTTCCGTATAGAGGTGCGCCGGACAGACTAAAATCCTCTATTACTGCGTTCTGCGCGGATGGTCACCCGCGGCATTGAATGACGAAGAAGTGGCGGCTACGGAGAATTTCGCGGGAGACACCGAGCTGCATGGAAACGTTGAGACTTGGTCTGGACATAGGCTCATCAAGTACCGGAAGCATCGGGCCTATTGTTCGCCCGTAATTAAAGTGTCTTCGGACGGCTCACCCATCTCTCTCCCTGAGGCTTGAGTTTGAACATTGTTACTTGCTCGGCTTTGCTTGGGAGAGGATTTTCCACTGGTGCGGGCCGCGGGGGCGGCCGTCGAAGATTATACACTCCGACTGACTAGAAAATATGCCGAGTCGATAGTGGCGATTGGTTTGGTATCGTCCCGTAGTCCCTACAAAAAGGGACTACGGGACGATACGAGGGGATCAGAGAGACGATGCGATGAGCTCGAGATGGTAGAGAAGCTAAGATAGAAATCACTGAGAGGCACGTCGTAGGCGACGATGACAAAGACGATGAAGACGCTGACGAATTGGACAGATCAAACCTCGACGCCAAGAACCAACCTTCGGCCCCGGCTCGAGCAGCCAACTCCGAGGCTCCGACTACATGGGCATTCTGTCAGACGAACTTCACCTCCTTTACTTAAACGAGCTTTGCCGGAAGGGATGCGGCATATTGAGACATTGCGCGGTTTTATTAATTTATCACTTTATCATTTGTGTCGTCGTATGTTTACTCTGTATTGAGGCACCGTTGTATTGTCACCGTTACTTGCTTATGTATCCTGTTTTGTGTGTCGCGAGTATTTACTGATGTGTTACCCTTTTGTGTAACAGAGATGTCGTTCACGGACAATGCGTGTGTATGCCATTTGCACTTGCTGTTGAATTAAATGCGTCCATGATTAAGAAAAGATTGTGACGTCTCTTGCTTCCCGGCCCCAGCACGAATCCCTGTATGTGGAAAGTGATTGAGACACGTAGCCGAAAGGGAACCGGATAAAAAGGGGGTTGAGGGCTCTTCCCTCTCTTTGGCGATCGGCGGCGTAGTGGGGACGTCTCAATGCTATACAGAATATACCGATTTCTACGAATGTCATTAGGAATTTCCACAGCACCGGAATTCTTCCAGAAAACAATGCATCAAACACTTCAAAGTCTCCATGGCGTCGACGTAGTCATGGATGATATACTGCTATGGGGTTCAACTAAAGAGGAGCACGACAGATGTCTGCGAAATGTTTTGCAACGGTGCCAAGAAGTATACCTCAAGCTGAACGATGCCAAGTGTCACTTCTGCAAAGCTGAAGTACGCTATCTAGTATTCAGGCTGACCGACCAAGGACTCTCGATTGACCAAAAAAGAGCAGAAGCGATTCTCGCGATGCAAGTCGGAGATAAGTGTCGGAGATAAGTGAACCACTGCGTGAAAAGGACAACACAAGGGTATGGACAGCCACAGCAACAAAGCTTTGAAAGCCTGCGAAAAGCATTGTCACAAGTACCGGTCCTGGCATACTACGAAAAGACACAGCTCATTGTGCTACAAATCAATGCCAGCCAACATTGAGTAGAAACAGTAATCCTGCAGAACGGACACCCCTTGGCTTACTCTTCTCGCTCACTAACAGAAGCACAAGAGAAGTATGCATAAATTGAAAAGGAAATTTTAGCCACTCTACACGAATGCACCAGATTTTATGACTATGTATTTGCACAGTCAAGCATCTCTGTGGAAAGTGACCACCACCCACTCGAGGCGATTTTCCAGAAACCGTTTTACCACTGTCCATTACGTCTGCACAGGATGCGACTGACACTCCAAAAGTATTCCCTTCAGATAATGTATAAAGCAGGAAATGAGATGTTTATAGCAGATGCCTTGTCTCGGTCTCCGTCCAAAGAAAAAGTGCCGGAAGAAGAACACTTCCAAGTAGATGTCGTGCAAGAGTTGTCAGTCTCCACCGAAAAACTGCAACAGATCAAGCGTGAGCCAAGTCAAGACAAGAACCTATGTACCCTGAAAGAATACGCAAGCACTGAAAGCCAGATGACAAAAGGTCAGTCCCTAATGAATTCGAGCTTAATGGCCGTACCATGACAATATACGCTTCAACGATGATATCCTCTTCCGATCCAACCAACTGATCATTCCCAGCAGCATAAGGAACCATGTCTTAGACCTTTTGCATGCAGTCGATGGAGGAGCAGAAAGGATGAAGCAACGCGCCAGAGATGTTAAGTTTTGCCCTGGCATGTCAGCAGAC